AACCTGTTTTTGGGGGCAAAGGACTAGATAACACCCATCCAAGACTCATCATCATCGCCACAGATCCTGATTCCCCCCGTTTCGTGTCTCCAGTGAAGAAAGACCAATAGAAATCGTTGCCAACTAAGGCACATACTTCTAAACCACAGTCTTGGGATGGTTGATCTGCAAGTTTCATGTCTGCCAGATGACTTTATGATTGTTAAGCAAACTGTACGGCTTGATTCGTCAAAGGGCCACAGATAAGAGGGACGGTATGAGCAGTCATCTGAACGTCTGAACTTTGACTCGAGCCTCTGACACAGAATTCGACAATGCCACACTCTCTTAAGTCTTCGTTTTCTTGTCCAAACGTTTTGATGAGCAGCTTCTCTTTTCTCCTCGGGAACAGACCCAATTTTTCTTTCGCTCGTTCGGAAATGTAGCTCCGCTGGCTGCCACTGTCAAACAGAATGCGCACAGTTACAGCAGAATGAGGTTGATGGATCCGTGACACAGAGGCGTTGGCCGTTTGCAGCAAAATTGACGTGTTTTGAGTCCACGTACACCGTTGTAGAGGACTTGTTTTCTCGGCGATTTAGTTGGTTGTTTTTGAGCTTTCGTTCCCGTAAATTTGGTACTCCTTTGTTTGCAATTTAAAAAAGTTTTGGAGTTTCTATTTTAGCCAAATGTTGTGGTTCATTTAACACGTTTAATACATATTTTCTACGGAATTTGGACTCTAGGCTCTTTTTTCGTTAATGGATTTCATACATTAATTCGAATTGATAACTTCCACCAGAAGGACTAGGTATTTTTTGTTAGTCTGCTTCCTGTAATGAAGCCAACATATACTACCTGTTTGTTGCTGTTTGTCTAATGATGCATCCAGCATTAACCAACGTTTAATTCATAAGTTTCCTAGTACTGACAATATCTTAGAGTCCACGTATCGGTGAAATGAAGCCCCATGTATTAGCATGCGATTATCTATATGTAATAATATTGTAGCAATAATACTCAACAATGATAAGATAAAGTGATACAAGTAATCCTTATTGATAACCGGCTTTCTAAATCTTCAGATATGTCTCTGGTAATGGAGGACTATTCAGAGTTTACACCTAGAATGGAGGAGCTCGTGGACTCTCTGATAAAATGCTTACTTCAGTGGCAAGGAGTACCTTTGGTATCTTAACCAACTTATATTATATTCTAATTCTCGTTCTTTTGAAGTGCCTGAGTGTAGCTCTTAAACAAACCTTTATTACGAATAATTGCCTTAACAAGGCTGAAGAGGATAGAAGAATAACGGTTGAGTATTTAATAAGTGAGGTGATTTTGGAGCTTAAATAATTAAGCAGATAACAATGTTCTTTTAAATCATTATCTTACAAAATATTTGTAAAATAAGGTGGAAGAGGTTAAAAATTAAATAGGCTGTAAGGAAACATGTTTAAGTGGTTAAGAAGTAAGGTGATTTTGGAGCTTAAATAATTCAGCAAATAACAACGCTCTTTGACATCATTATTTTAGAACGGTTTTTTAGATTACCTTTTATTTGCGTAACGAATTGTTAATTTCTGAACCGATCTTGTTAGGATGTGGAAACTTTTTGTTCATCTGATATAGGTATAGGCAATAACATGATTTCGAGTGTAATTTGGAGTAAATTTTTAAAAAATAAGAAAAGTAAGTAATGCATTACCTTTGATGAAGTGATTTTTACCTTGCTTTTCCATATACTCTTTCAGAGTTTTACATCTGATGACATAAGAATAATCTTGGTATCACTCGGATCCTCTCCTGCTTTGAGAGACCTGTGTTTATCAAAACTGGCATGGGCTGTGCAGAACGTTGGTTCCTCTCTTAAAGTGGTTGCTAAGGGTGGGTGTTTTTGTCAGTTAAACACAACATGAACGATGATATTTTTTAATGTAATTGTGTAATAGCGCTGTGATGCATCCAATGTCCGAAGAGAAATAATAATATTCCATGACTTCAGATCGTCCAGCCGAGTTAATTTCTTTTGAGGAATATTAACAGAGACTGAATGATAGCAAAGATTGCAAGAAGACAAAATTGTGTTGTCATGGATCATGTGTCCATTCTGTAATTGCTTAGATTAAAATTAACTATTTTCTAATTATAATTCCAGGAGATTGTGAGTTACATGGCAAAGTTATGACCTACCAGAATGTTTTTCATGTGCTTCTTGCTCTTGAGGAGATACTGAGGGGAACTTTTGTGAAGCAGGAGACTTATTCTGAGACAGGTGTTACTTAATTCTCGGTGATGATCAAACTGGAAATATTTATTTTTTCCGTAATGGTAAACTTGCTTATTTTTGTATTTTATTTTTTTTCTCTCCACAGTTTCCTCTATCTATCACAATCTTAATAGTTCACTTAGGCATGTCTCGAAGGCCTTCCCAGTCTTTGCCCACTTCGTCTGGAGATTGCTATTGTTGTTGTCAAGACATCTCTCTTTTTCAGAGCAAGAGGAACAAAAGTTGCTTTGAGACTTAAGGAAAAACTGATGGCTATTTCTACTAAATTAAAAGTAGAATCTTGGTGGCGTGGTTCCTTTACCTCTGTTTTCATTCAACTATGAATAAACGTTCATTTAAGGCGAAGTTTGTTGTTTGTATTTTCTCTGTAAAGGAGAGTATGCCGTTGCTCAAATCCCTAAACTTCTAAAAGGCTTCACAAGTCAGTAACGCTATCAGTAGCCTTTTAATTACCTATTTCCCTTTAAATTCCACATACGCTCTAAGAATCTTTTTTTTTTTTGCACTGTTCAAATAACAAACCACACTCTGATTAGTCTGGGCGGAATACTTTGACGGAAAAGGCTTTTGGGCCAGGTCTTTATGAAACATTAGCGAAACGTTAGCGATTTGTTCAAAGAAGTGTAGGTAAATAGGTCAATATCAGGCAGGGTACTACGAAGTTAAACTGCGTCCTGATTCTCTTTGGTTGCTGAGTCATATCTTTCAAACTATACAACATTCTCAAATCTCCTTAGCTGTAGAGTTGTAGTTTCTAAGTCTTGTTCCCATGCAAATGAATAAATTTAATTCTATAGCGTTGCCACTCGTTCTCCTGGTATATCAGTTGCTGTTGACTCTTGCAAGAGTCTGGAGCTTTAATGACATCCAACATTTGCAGTTAGATGATATGGAAGTCAAGAGCCACTTCCCCTTATAGATGGAGATAAGCGCGCTAATTGCATGGTATAAGCCCTCAGAAACCACTACTTTTTGCCTTGGTTTGTTGTGTTTTAATTGCTCATGAATTAATAAAAACTTCAGGTTATAGTAAGACCTTGTGTGGATATGAAAATAGACTTCATCCAGAGGCAAAGCCAATTTCGATTCTCATCCTTGACTGCAGAGAAAAAATCAAAATTGCGTTTTAAAATCTTCTTATTCTATAGTTGTTTGAAGAAATATTCTTCATGTCTGAATTTTTCCACACTCGTGTTTAACATCTTTTCTTTAATTCCACGCCGGCGAGCGTTCTCTGAGGCGTCTATGGCTAAACTTGGCATTTCACCTTTCTAAATCTCTACATACCATTGAACCTTATCATATGCTTCCAAAAATTCTACTTCCAGTTTGTCCGCACCTTCTCAATGTTTCCTTGTGCCTATTGTCTTTTTCTTTAAGGCGTAAGTATTACGATTTTTACTTTTCGATGTACATCTTTTTCGTTGCTTGTGAGATGGTGGGAGCTGCTGCAGCTTATCCTCCGCCGGACCACATACTGTAGAGGCTGTGCTTGCTTAGAGCAAGACTAATTGCCTTCAATTATTTATTTACCAGCTTATTTGTTTGTGAATTACTACGCTGCTGTGAACAAAAAGAGAAGCTGTGCTTCGCATAACAAATTTTCCTGAGAAAATAGTAATTCTACGTTTTCCAACAAATAACAGGCATTTCTATAGGGTTTCAGGACATGCACTGGAACCTGTACGAGAAACCAGGATGTTAGAACCCTCTCAGAACTGGTCATTTTTCCTCTTTGCTAGGACAATTGATACAAAGCTTAACTCAGGAAGAGATTACGGCGTCTCAGCTCTTTAAGGTCATCTCAACACGAGAATGCCGCGAATCGTAGAGAAAGAAGGCATGCTATGTAGAGCGCGCTGAATTTTCCATTGCAAAACTGATGCATAACGTCCTTGATTTGGGTTATTATGAGATACGTTTTCTCGTTCTTCGGGCTGGTACCACATTATTCGTTTGCACATTTCGAGGAAATGTGCCACTAGATGGGCCCATGCGATCCCAAAGACTGTTGCGTACGTGTATGCAGTGAGGCTGTGGCCTTTAGTAGGTGCACTAAATTCTAATCTGAACCATTTTTATGATTGGCCAAACTGCTTACGAATTGTGACGACTCATTGTGGCGTTGTTTATAGGAAGAACAAGACACACACAGGTGAAGTAACACAAGTCTATTTAATCGATGTCCGACGAACTCTACAAAACCGGAAAGCATGGTCCCTAAAGTTTTGTTGCCATGGTAGTTATGACGTAAATGCGGACCGGAAGTAAATAGAACGATAACATCGATATCGTTACATCTCCTTTTCTTCAGGAAACAAAAAAAAATGTAAACGTAACTGAGTGTCTCAATCCTAGTTTAAAATAAACTACAGAAAAAAAAAGAAAATTAAGAGTTTGTCATGTCCTTTTTTGTGTTCTTTCGATAACCCCAATCACTGGTAACGTGTGGGTGGTCGCACAATTCGTCCAGATCGAGTGGTGGTCACCGATGGGGAAATCTCCTGCTTATCTGCTGCAGACTGAGGTGGATATTCCGGATGTGGCTTGTCCGTGTTCTGCAAAGGTACTGTGTCTGATTGGTCCTTACTGACTGCAGTACTTGGTATGGAAGGTGGTACCGATGGTATTTCATTACCAGAATTTGCAGTAGCAGAAATTGGTGTTGCTTTTTGGGATAATCTCATCCCATCTTCACTGTGTGGCATCACTTCACGTGTATGTCTCAGGTGCCTGCGGTTCCTCCTATAAATTCTTCCATCTTCTGTTCTGACTTGATAGGACCTTATGTCGACTTTGCCTTCGACTCTTGCTTGGGTCCAATCCTTCTTCTTTCCCAAGTGGGATTTTAGTGGCTGCAATCGCACTGTGTCTCCTGGGCGCAGTTCCTTCAGTTCTTTGGCGCCTTGATTGTAGTACAGGGATTGTTTAGCCTTTTGTAGCTTCAACTTCTGATCAACCTCCTCTGGTAGCTTCGGCTTGAGCAATTGGTTTGAGGTTGGGAGTGGAGTCTTTGTTCTTCTACCGAATAATCGCTGAACAGGTGACGAGTTGAGTGTTTCTGTGGGAGTATTTCTCCAGTCCAGCAGGGCAAGATATGGGTCTTGTTCGGACTTGACGGCTTTCTCTAGCAGATGTTTTGCTGTCTTCACCGTGTTCTCGACTTTGCCGTTGGACTGAGGATATGTTGGAGAGCTTGTTATATGTTCAAAACCATAAGTGTCTGCGAACTGTTGGAACTTTGCGGAAGAAAAGGGCTGTCCATTATCCGATACAAGCTGGTCGGGAATTCCATGGCGGGCAAGATGGGCTTTCAACTTCTTCACAACTTCGTCTGCTGTCTTGCTTGTCATTCTGTCGACTTCAAAGAAGCTTGAATAGTAGTCAACGGTCACCATGAAATCTACACCGTTCAGATCAAAAAGATCAACTGCGATTTTCTCCCAGGGTCTACTAGGCAGTTCGTGACAAATCATTGGCTCTTTTCCTTGCTCGACAGGCTGGCTGTTGCAGACGGCACACTTTGCTACATAATCTTCGACATCTTTGTTCATCCCATGCCAGTAGACTACTTCTCTTGCTCTTCTGAGACAGCCTTGGATGCCGATGTGGCTCCGGTGGATCTTAGCCAACATGTCAGCTTTCACGCTCATAGGGATAACTAGTCTTTCACCTTTGAACACCAGTCCATTCTGTAAAGACAGTTCGTCCCGAAATGTAAAGTAACCACTGATGTTTGCTGATACCCCAGCTTTGGTAGCTGGCCAACCTTGCCTGATTGTTCTCTTCAGCTCTCTCAGGGTAGGATCGGATTCTGTTGCTTGCTGAATGGCAATCAGCGTTGGTTCCGATACTGGCAAGTATTGTATCATATTGATGTGCTCTAGCTCTCTTTCAGTGTCTCCTCTCATGTCCTCTATGTACATAACATCTTCTGCTACATCTTCTTTTGTGCTCTTGCGCACTCTGTATGCTCTGCTCAGTGTATCTGCCAGATACATTTCAGTCCCTTTTTTGTAAGACACTTGAAGGTCAAACTTCTGCAATCTTAGCAGCATTCGCTGGAGACGTTTAGGCGCACTGAGTAGACTTTTACGGAAGATGCTCTCCAAGGGTTTGTGGTCAGTTTGGATCTTGACAGGTCGACCATATACAAACTGCTCAAAACGTTCTACTCCGAAAAGTATTGCAAGCATCTCTTTCTCTATCTGGGCATAGTTCACTTCCGTTTCTGTCATGGAACGAGATACATAAGCCACGGGCTGGCCTCCTTGCATTAGACATGCACCAAGTCCTCGGTCTGATGCATCACACTGCAATTCCACGTCGTCTTTGGGGTTAAAATACTTGAGGACAGGGGCAGCTGAGAGTATCTCCTTAACTCGCTTGAAACTACAACCTTGTACTTGCTCATCCCAACGGAACTGGTTCCCTTCTTTCAAAAGGTCTCTCATTGGGGATGTAACTTCTGACAGGTTAGGAGCAAACTTCTGGAGGTAATTTACCATGCCGAGAAGTCTCTTGAGATCTTGTTTGCTTGTCGGGGTTGGCATCTCTTTGATACCTTGTACCTTGTCTGGGTCAGGCTTAAGACCATCTTGACATATAACATGTCCCATAAACTTCACTTCTTTGCGACGGAGCTTAAGCTTCTCTTTGTTTAACTTAATGCCAGCAGCGCGGAAGCGTTCTAACAATGCTGTCAGCTTTGCATCATGATCAGAAAGTGCTTCTGTTTCTGTTTCTCCGACACCAAAAACAAGGATATCATCAAATATTGACTTAATTCCATCAAGACCTTCCAGGGCGTATTCCAATCTCCTCTGAAACTCTTCCGGAGCGGGTGATATGCCGAAGGGCATCCGCGTCCAGCGGAACCTTCCCCCCAGGGGTACCAAATGTGGTCAGAAGACTGCTTTCATCGTCTAGCTGCACATGCCAAAACCCGTTCTTTGCGTCGACGACACTGAAGACTTTAGCATTTGTAAGGAGTGGTAGTAGATCGTCGATCACTGGAAGGGGAAAATGATTTCTCCTGAGTGCTTTATTCAGAGGTTTTGGGTCAATACATAACCTTATCTTTCCATTGCTCTTCTTAATGACCACCATTGAGGAAATCCAATCTGTTGGAACATCTACTGGTTGCAAGATGCCTATCTTAACTAAGCGTTCTAGTTCCTGTTTTAAAGGCTCTTTTACTGCAAAGGGGACTTTCCTCACTGGCAGTGCCA